GCTGAAACCGGTTTGGCTCAGTGGTAGAGCATCAGTCTGCAGACTGAAAGGTCCCAGGTTCGATTCCGGTCAAGGGCATGTACATTGGTGCGGGCACATCCCCGGTAAGGGGGTGTGCAAGAGGCAGCTGGTCGATGTTTCTCTCTCATCGATGTTTCTAACTCTCTATCCCTCTCTCCTCCTCTCTGTAAAAAATCAAAATATATTAAAAAAGATCAATGCCATTGTTTAAAAATTTGCAGGGACTTAATGGAGAGCCCAAATGCCAAGCTGCTGCCGAATCATAAGAATGATGCCTGGTGCAGCCACATGGAGGACTGAAGGCCATGCATCACATTAAAAAAATATATATATACTGTTTTTCAGATTAATTGCATCTCTCTTCCACACCAGCCTTTGCAGTGAGCGGCTCAAATTGACCAGTTTAAATGTGACCTCTTTTCTTCTCCTCCATCCTCTCTGAGTCAGTTGCTAAGAAGCAGTGAAAGGACGTGTGTATGGGGTTGGGGAACGTGTGTGGGGAGCGTGAAGCTCTCCTGAAACTTACCCTCACCTCCCTGTGCATCGGCCACTTTGACAACCTTCAGATGGGCAAATCCTATTTCACAGATTAGGAAACTGAGGCAAAATCAAGGGTTTGTCTAAGATCTTACAGCAGGAGAGTGGGAAGATGCTGCCCAGCAGCCCCTGGTAGGATGTCGAAGAGCTTGAAGGCACAAACTTCGGATTTAGATCCCAGTTGTCCACCTTCCTTAGCTGTGTTACACTCCTTAAATCACTTAACCTCTCTGAACCTCATCTCTTCATCCGAGAAGCAGAGATCCAATCATGTTATTCCCAGTGGAGCTAATGAGATAATGCATGGAAAGTGCTCAGAACAAGGCTTAGGAAGAAGTCAGTAGGAAAAAAAAAAAATGGTGTCTCAACTCCTGGTCTCTTCTTTCTTCCACCACAGCGCAGAGCAAACCAATTGCAGCCTGCCTGAGCTGACGGGAAAGGAGTGGGCATTATCCTGTAACTCCAGGAAAATCAGTCTCGCATGAGAAGGCAGGCCCCAGCGTCCAGGTGTCGACCAAGACACCTTGGTGGCAACAGAAACTGATTAGAGTGCCTTCAACAAAGAGTGGAGCCGGGTCCTAAGGAGGCATGGTCATCTCACCAGCGCTCTGAGGGCATCGAGGTGTCCAGGATCCAGAAAGGGCCAGAAACCAGGGGCCCAGGGGCCTTCTCTCTGCTTCCTGTGTTTGCCTCTCTCTAATCATCCTTCCCCACATCCTGGCTTTCTCTGTGATGTCACTTCAGCATGACAGAGGTGGCCTTTTTGAAAGACCAGCCAAGATAAAACGAGGCTCTATTTGGCCCAGTTCCAAGAAAAGGACTTGAATGGCTCAGCTTGGGGCAGATGCCCAACCCAGCCAGTATCCAAGCCAAGTTATACCAATATGGCAACCATTCTCTAGAGGTGAGGAGCGGGTCATTGTGAGGGGCGAGCCGCCCCCAGAAATGTCTTCTTACAAATAATAACCCCTTCTTCCCTTGTGTTCCCCAACGTTGTGCATTTCTTTATTACTAATAAGAGCCAATGTCCACCAAGGGCTTACTGTGTGCCGGTCACTGGTGTAAGCACTTTGCATATGTTAACTCCTTTACATGAATCCCCACAAAATCGCTATGACTTTATCTTGTCCATTGTACAGGCGAGAAAACTGGGGTGTGAAGAGGTTAAACAATTTGCCTAGGATCCCACTTGAACTCAGCCAACCTGGCACCAGGTCCATTCTCTCTTAGCTGCCAGGCTGTGTTGCTTTATTTTAGCCCCAATCATACATTCTTTAAAAAATATTTTTAATTGATTTTTAGAGAGAGAAGAACAGAGAGAGAAAGAGAGAGAAACATCGATGTGAGAGACAAACATCTGCCTCCTGCACATGCCCAACCGGACACTGAGCCCACATCCGGGCATGTGCCCTGACCAGGAAGGAAACCAGGAACCTTTCAGGGCAAAGGACAACGCCCAACCAACTGAGCCACACTGGCCAGGGCCCAATCATGCATTTTATGTTTCCTTTGTTAGCCCATGTCTCTCAAAATGAAAAAACGAAAAAAAAAAAAAAAAAAAAAAAAAAAAAAAAAAAAAGATGAGGAAGGGGAAGAATGTGATCGCTGACATTTCACAACAGCATTTTCAGTTCACGGTGGGAAGCGCTGAGACTCTGGTGGCTGACCTCGCTGTTTCATTTTGAACTGGAGTTCAGGGAGCAGGCGTGGCAGCAAGCTCATCCCCCATGACCCTCCCTGGGCCTGGGACCGCCTGGGGCAAACCTGGAGCCTCTTTGCCTCATGCCCTGCACCTGTACCCAGCAGGCACGCAGTAAAATTTGGTGTTGCTGAGAAAATGTGTCCTCACTTTGCTAAAATCTGGTCCCTGTAAGAACACAAGAAAGGGGGTACGAGGAAACAATATACACGTGAGAACCCAGACATCGCTCGCCAGCCGGCCTGGAAGGAGCTGGGATCACAGCATGTCTGCGCCAAGCTCCCTCCCCCCTCCTCCTTGTCTCCAGGTCTCTCTGGGAGTCTGTGTGAGCACCTGGCGCTGGGCCCACAATGGACTCCTCGGCCCAAACAGCAGGCTAAGTGGTCACCGTTGCCCAGTTTCTCAATACCACACGTCCAGGTAAGGGGTCCTATGGATCCGATCAGACTTTGTCCAGCCAGGCCTCCGAATTCTGGTTCCGGGTCTCAGGCTCAAAGAAGGGAAGTATAGTAAGCTGCCCATGTCTCCCAGCGAGAAGACCACCAAGCGGATTCTGGCCCGCCAGCCCCCAAATGAGTGACCTGGGGCTGCTGCAACAAAGCACTTCTGACCCGGAGCACCGACAACAGAAATTATCCTCTCAGAGCCCTGGAGCCAAAGTTCAGAATCTCGGTGGCAGCGGGGTTGGCGCCTTCTGGGGGCTGAGAGGGGGGCCTGCTCTGGCTCCGGCTCAGGCTGGTTTGCGGGCCATCTCCGGCTTCCCTTGGCGTGGACACAGATGTCTCGCCCCATCTCTGCCTTCATGCTCCAGGCGTCTCCCCGAGTGTGGCTGTGTCCAGCGTCCTCCTTTTATAAGGACAAGTCATCCTAGCTCAGGGGCCCACCCTACTGCAGCATGACCTCATCTTCACTGACCACATCTGCAACAACCCAATCTCCAAATAAGGTCACGCCGAAACCAGTTTGGATCAGTGGACAGAGTGTCGGCCTGCGGACTAAAGGGTCCCAGGTTCGATTCTGGTCGGGGGCATGTACATTGGTTGCGGGCACATCCCGGTAGGAGTTGTGCAGGAGGCAGCTGGTGGATGTTTCTCTCTCATCGATGTTTCTAGTTCTCTGTCCCTCTCCCTTCCTCTCTGTAAAAAATTAATAAAATATATTTTTTAAAAGTAAAAAAATAAGATCATATTCTGATGTCCTGGGGGCTAGGTCTTTGACATATTTTTTTCCTTTTTCTCTTTTTAAAAGTCTTTTGAAATTGATTTTTAGGGAGATGAGAAGGGAGAGAGAGAGAGGGAGAAGGAAACACTGATGTGAAAGCACATTGATCTGCTGTCCCCCTCCCCTCACCACACGATTTGAGTCTGTAACCTGGGTATGTGCCCTGACCGGGAATTGAACCTTTCAGTACGCAGGATGATGCCCAACCAACTGAGCCACACTGGCCAGGGCTTTGGCGTTTTTTTTTTTTTTGTTTGTTTGTTTTTTTAATATGTTTTTATTAATTTCCAAGAGGAAGAGCAAGGGAGAAAGATAAAAATGTCAATGATGAGAGAGAATCATTGATGGGCTGCCTCCTGCACGCCCCCTTCTGGGGATCAAGCTGCAACCAGGCATGTGCCCTGACTGAGAATCCAACCATGAGCTTCTGGTCCTTAGGTTGATGCTCAACCACTGAGCCACACCTGCCGGGCTGACATCTTTTTGAGGGACATAGTTCAATCCATTGCACAGCCCGAGGCCTGCCACAGGAGTGCCCCTCAGGCAATCCTCACCACAGCACACCCATCCCAGGCCTCCTTTTGACCCCAGAGGGTGTCGCTCATCTTGCTTTCTGTGGGACAGGCCTGCCCCCATGCTCACACAGGGCACTCATAGGGAGCAGGTGTGATTCCAGACGACCCACTATTAAGGTGACCAGATCATCCTGCTTTTGGTGGGACAGTCCCGATTTTTAACAATTTTTTTAAACTATCCAAAAATCGGGACTTTTTAAATTAATTTGTTTTTATTTTTATATTTTTAAAATATATTTTATTGATTTTACATAGAGAGGAATTGAGAGGGATAGAGTCAGGAACGTCGACCAGCTGCCTCTTGCACACCCTTTTACTGGGGATGTGCCCGCAACCAAGGTACACGCCCTTGACCGGAATCGAACCCGGGACCTTTCAGTCTGCAGGCTGATGGTCTATCCACTGAGCCAAACTGGTTTTGGCAAATCAGGACTTTTTAAAAACGTCAAGGGACACAGGAAAATTTGTTAGGAATCGAGACTGTCCTGCCAAAAGCGGGACACCTTACCCACTGCGAGTGTCCTGGGTGGTGCATGACTGACCTGGGTGAGGCCCTCTGGAGGTTCCCTTCAGATGGACAGCCAGCTTTCTGTGGTGACCGTGCTCCAGGTTCACCGGCGGTTCCAGAGGCATCACCCCGAACAGCTCACAGCGGGCTAAGGAATTCCATTCAGTGCAGGTGACAGAGGCCCAGGAATAGAAGCCAGCTAGTGGAACCCTGGCCAGGTGGTTGCGTGGTGGCAGTGGTTGGCAGGTGACTGGGTCCTGGACCAGGGGTTCAGGCAGGCGGCTCATTTCTGTATTTATTCACTTTTCCCTTTGGTTGGGCTCAAATTGTTAAGCAGATTTTACTCAGAGGTTAACTAGCCAAGTCTGGCCTGAGGATCAGTCTTTTTTTTTTTTTTTTTTGAGTTTTTAACGTTTTAATACAGGTCAGGATGTCAGGCTCATTTCAGCTCCTTCACGGCCAAACCCGGGGGCAGGGACTGCTTCAGCTTCTCGGCCTTCTCCTTGTCCGTGATGACCAAGGTGTACAGGTACCTGCTGCATCGGACTTTGAACTTCACATTATCCTTATTCTTCTTGATCTTGACGGATTTGGCGTCCTTCCGCCGGGCTGTGAGCAGGAAGTCCTTGATCTCCTCAATCTTGCGAGGCATGGGTGCAAGGCGCGGAGCGTGCGGCCAGCGCCTCGGATTATCCCCACTATTCCCCGTGTACCGCCAAAGAGGCACTTACAACTCAGGATCAGTCTTGAAAACCCTGGATCTGGGTTCCGGATGGGAAGCCAGCCTCGCCCTTTCGTCAGCCATGGTGGGCATTACTGGTCCATCCTGCAACGCTACCTGAGAGCCCAGGTCAGAAGGTGGCAGGGTGGGGCCTGGAACCCAGAACCACATGCCCTGGAGTTTGCATTCACTGTCTGCTTTGATTCTGTGAGCCACAGTTTTGATCCTGTTGCTGGATTTGCCTTTTTTTTTTTTTTTTTTTTACTTGATATAATCTTTTATTCTCACAAGTTGGGATGGAATATTTTCTAAACTAAATTACACTTTCATGTCTTAAAATAAGCCACATTGAACCAAATTAGTTGCCTCAGTACTTGGTGCTACAATATGAACTGGGATACAGGATCATCATGATAACTGGTAAGATTTCTTAGCGAGCCTCCAAGGACTAGTCTTTGCTCTCGGGTCCTGAAAAACTGATTAAGAAAGCAGACACATAAAAGAAGGGCCAGGAAACTAACTAGGTGGCTCAGTGGATAGAGCTTCCCAGGTTCAATTTCAGTCAAGGGCATGTATTAGGTCTAGTAATAATTAATGTCGTTTTCTAATACTTTTTTTTAAATCGAATTTATTTAAACAATACAACAAAATTTAATCAACAATATAGTTGCCGTTGTTTTCTACTATTTGTGCCCAACGCTCAGGAAGCATTTTAATCCCTCTGTTGTAAAATTCTTGTGATTTTGATGCAAAAAATTCGGTCAATGCATTTTTGAGGCATTCTTCATTATTAAATTTTTTTCCAAGAAGAAAGTTTTGCAAAGAACGAAACAAATGGTAATCGGAAGGGGCAATATCAGGAGAATATGCAGGTTGAGGGAGAACTTCCCATTCCAACTGGCGCAGTTTTTCAGCAGTGATTCTTGCAGTATGCGGTCCTGCGTTATCGTGGTGAAGAATTACGCCCTTCCGATTAATCAGCACGGGTTCTTTTTCTCTTAAAGCTTGGGCTAACCTTTCCAATTGGGCACTATACACTGCACTTGTAATGGTTTGGTTAGATGGTAAAAGTTCATAATGAAGAATTCCTTTAAAATTCCACCAAACATACAACATCACTTTTTTCGCATGCAAGTCAGGTTTTGGCGTGGGCTGTGGAGCCTCATTTTGTCCAACCATTGAGGCCGCCTTTTCAAATTAACATACAGCACCCATTTTTCAGCTCCGGTAACAATTTGCTCTAAAAACGGCAAACGGTTTTGACGAGAGAGGAGCGAACTGCAAATTGTGACTCTTTGATTACGGTTGTTGTCGGTCAACTCATGAGGAACCCATTTTCCAAACTTTTGGACTTTGCCAAGTGCACGCAATTGATTGGAAATTGTTTTTTGTGAACAATTTAAAGTTGTCGCAAGCTCTTGTTGGGTAATTTGAGGATTTTGCACCAAAAGAGCTTGAAGAGCTTCTTGATCAAAATTGGACACACGGCCTCGACCACTCTTGTCATCTAACGAAAAATTTCCCTCGCGAAATTTCTCAAACCAACGCTGGCATTTTCTGGCGCTAACTGCATCTTGACCAAGAGCACTACAGATGTTTTTTGCAGCCTCACTTGCTTTTCTTCCTAATTGGAACTCGTAAAGCATGCAGTGCCGAATATGCTCTTCATCCGCCATCTTCTTAGCCCTAGTTTTGCAACAAAAAACAAACCAAACACAAACTTTTTCAAGCAAAACTTGTTAATTGCACTTCACACGTTCTGTAGATACCACGTGTTTGAAGGTTATGTCAATACAAGTCAACGCCAAGCAAGATTTTAAACAAATGTTTTTAAACGACATTAATTATTACTAGACCCGATACCTTGGTTGTGGGCACATCCCCAGTAGGGGGTGTGCAGGAGGCAGCTGATTGATGTTTCTCTCTCATCGTTGTTTCTAACTCTCTATCATATATATATATATATATATATATATATATATATATATATATATACACATATTTATTTATTTATTTATTTTTAAAGAAGAAGAAGGGCTGGGATACTAACCTGATGACTGATCACTGCTGAAACACATGATGGGACTTTGTGTGAGATCCATCGGACCTGTTCTCTGAAGCCCAGGATCCGCTGGTGTTCGCCATCTTAAAAGGAAAAGTGCTAAAGGGGCCACCAACACATTCACATCCCAGCAACCCTGACCCTTCTTGCAACCCCAGGGGGCAATGACAGGACCATTTGCCTTGCCAGAGCTAGGCCAAAACCCTAGGGGCCTTCTGAGCCACCTTCCTATTTTGCAGATGGGGGAAACTAAGGTTCAAAGAAAGATCCTTTCCCAACACCACACAGGCAATGGGTGGCCCCTCCCCAACCCAGAGTTCCCCTCCCCCCCATCTCCTGCTTTTCTCTCCGCAGCTGACGGAAGACGCCTGTATGTGTGTATTTCTCACCTATCCGCGGCTGTCCGAGCCTGTGCTGTCGGTCCCCAGGGAGGTTCCCCTTTCTCTTGCTCCATCTGCCCCAGCCCCGGGAGCCGGGCTGTGTGCTCCTCTCCATCCCTAATGACTTTTGTGTCGCTTGTGCCCTTTGTTAGGATTTCTGTTGCTTTTCACACCTTCCCCAACAGGCAGCCAATTGATGTTTCTCTCTCATGGATATCTCTCTAAAAAAAAAAAAAAAAAATCATTAAAATAATCAGCAGGGAGAGGGTTGGGGAGGTAGAGATGAAACAGGATTGGCAGATACGAAGCTGGGTAACAGGCTCATTAGACTATGCCTTCTTCTTTTGTGACGGTTTGAAACATCCCATCATGAAGAGTTTATTTTTTGAAACCCACCCTTTGGGCGGATACCGTTATCTTGCAGTGGAGGAAGGGTACATGTCAGGTTATTTGCCCACGATGACACTGCGGGTAGATCCCTAAGTAGGGATTGTTTTTTAAAAAGTTCCTATCTGACATCTCATCACCCACAAATTTATTTTTGATGAATATCCTTCTAGATCCTCTCTGCAGAGAAAAGGATTTTGAAATTAAAAAAATAAAAAGATTTTTGAATGACTTAGAACCATATATACTGCCTGACTCCATCCCTGCACAACACAAATTACGTGTGTCCCCAAACATACCTCCACGGAAAAGGAGCTAACGCACACGAGCCCGGTCTGAGCTAAGCGCTCTCACCTGGGCGATTCGGGGGGACGCGCATTAATCCTCTGGCATTACCATTAGGTCGTCATTGTCCCCACGGGTACAGAGGAGGAAACAAACTCGGAAAGGAGAGGTGGCGTGTGGGAGGGCACACACCAGTAACTGACAGGAAATCCGTGCACATATTGGATGACGTGGCTTCATTGAGTCCGCCTGCCCCTTGGCTGCAGCCTCCAGGAGGGCAGCATCTGCCTGCGTCTCTCAGCAGCGCACCTGCCCCGGAGAAGCAGAGCGCACAGAATGGACAAAGGACCATGTGTGTAAAGAGGCATGGCTGGGATTTGAGCTCCCTCCTTCCCCCTCACACCCTCTCCTTTTCCCCACCCCACCCCCTCAGCACCAATCAGCTACCATACTAGGCAACCTTCTTGAAAAAAAAAAATTGTGGTAAAATACACATAACATAAAACTTACCATTTGGACCACTTTTAAGTGTCCAGTTCTATGGCGTTAAGTATACTCACACTGCTGTACAACCATCACCACCATCTTTAGAACTTTTCATCTCCCAAACTGAAACTCTGTCCCCATTAAACACTAACTCACTATTTCCCTCCCTTGCTCCCACCATCTGCTTTCCGTCTCTATGAAGCGGAGCACTCTGTGGGAGTGCAACCCACAGTCCTCGTCCTTTTGTGACTGGCATCGTGTCCTCAAGGCTCACCCTTGTAACATTTCATTGTATATACAGGGGAGAGCAAAAGTAAGTTTACAGTTGTTCACATGGAAAATATGTAATTGAAGAAATAATGATACAAAAATAAACTCTGTTTCATGTACTCCCAAGTATAAACCTACTTTTGCCCTACCTCTTTATATAAATCACGTCTTGTTTACCCATTTATCCATCGATGGACATTCGGGTTGTTTCTACCTTTTCACTATTACAAGTAACGCTGCCGTGAACAGACACACACACACACACACACTCCTCTTTGTTTGAATCCCTGTTTGCTTGTTTAAGGGGTATATGCCCAGATGTAGGATTGCTGGAGCACATGGCAATTCTCTTTTTCGCCCTTCTGAATCATACCTTATGCTATTTTATTTTATTTTTTGCCTAAGTCTAAGCCTTTCTGTGTGGCCATGTTTTTGTAATTTGGATGGCTACTCATGGGTCTGAGAGAGACAGAGTGGTTCCTGCAGATCTTATGCAGGCTGCCTCCTCCTGCACCTCCCCCCTCCTGTCTCTGCTTGGTCCACTGAGTCAGCTCATGCCAGGGCTCCGAGTCAGGGACCCAGACCAGCTGAGGGCCCCGGGTCACACCCAAGAGTTCCCTTCACGCCTTCGTCTGCACTGTGTGGCCTGTGGTCCCCACCTGCGGCACGTTCCCCTCCTGTTCCCTGCTCTCTTTCCCGGAGCCCACGTCTCCATCTCTCGGTGAGGTTGCATGAATGAATGTTGTTGAAGTAATTAAGTCATTGCCTCCTCTCCTGGGGGTTGTTTCCAACTTTTCAATATTATTAACAAAGCAACAACAAAGAAAGGACGTCCTTCATGCTATTGAATCAGTTCCTGAAGACATATTTCCCAAGAGTGGGACAGCCTGACTGTGGATTTGGGAGCAGGGGTGGGAAATGAAAGGAAAAGGAGGGTTGGGTGCCATTCACTGAGCCTGGGAGTCGGGAGGAAGTGCATGCTATTGAGGGAAGGATGGTTGAGGAGGGCTCCTTTCCCACCCATTTCACACCTGGTCCCAGGTTGAATGGTGGTCCCAGAG